AGGTCTTAAGATGAACATGGACACACCTATGCCGGTAGTTGTTGGGAGCACTATGCTCGAAGTTGTTGACGAGTACGTTTACCTGGGACAAACAGTCCGACTAGGTAAGTCCAACTTCGACCGAGAGGTCAATCGACGGATTCAACTCGGCTGGGCAGCGTTCGGGAAATTGCGACACATCTTCTCGTCAGGTATACCTCAATCTCTAAAAACTAGATTGTACAACCAGTGCGTGTTGCCAGTGATGACTTACGGATCTGAGACGTGGTCCTTCACTGCTGGCCATATGAGGACGCTCAAGGTCGCTCAGCGAGCTATGGAGAGGGCTATGCTCGGAGTTTCTCTGCGTGATAGACTCAGAAATGAGGATATCCGCAGTAAAACCAGAGTGACCGACATAGCCCAACGGATTAGTAAGCTGAAGTGGCAATGGGCCGGCCATATAGCTCGAAGAACCGATAACCGATGGGGCAGAAAGGTTAAAAGGCGTAGTGTAGGGCGACCCCCCCCCACTAGATACAGTGACGACCTGGTAAGATATGCAGGAAGTCGATGGATGCAGATGGCTCAGGGCCGTGCTTTGTGGCATTACTTGGGGGAGGCCTATGTTCAGCAGTGGACTTGTGAAGGGCTGTAATGATGATGATGATGATGATCTCTAAGTTTATTATATCATAATTACCTTTGTTGTAAGAGAAAGAGAGAGGTTTAGAGTATGGAAGGGGCTGAATCTCGACAAAGTTAACACAAATTGATAAAACTTTGTGATGCTGGTCTTCCGGCACCAAGGGATCTTGGCAGTGTTCGACTTTTAAATAATCATTGGATAAAATGAGATCAAGTAAACGATTATAAGTGTTATACGCTCGATTAAATTGTTGTAAGTTACAGAAATTTAAAGTTTCAATCAAATATTGCAATTGTTCATCTTTAGCACCGCAACCCATATAATAGAACTCATGTTAAAATCACCTATAATGAGGAATTTGTCACTAGGATTTGTTAATATAAGTGAATCTAATGTATTGCGAAAGTTAATAACTTGATCAGAGAAGGAAGCGTCCATATTTTCATTACAAAGGTAAACAGTACATATGTTAAGTTTTATGTGGCGCTTAGGGTGAGGGCATGGTAGCGTCAATAAAACCCATATGTCTTCAGCTGAAGAACATCACTCAGGTTTGTCTACCGCTACAATGTTCTTGCTTATCGCTATAAGCACATCACCACCTCGCGATTGTTTAGCTCGATTAAGATCACGGTCGCGAATTCTACATCAAATGTGCATCAAATAAGCCATCCAATAACCAGGTCTCAGTTAATGAGATCAGATCATAGTTGTTCGTTGCGAAATGACGATAAAATTCACAATTATTCGATCTAAGACCCCTAACATTTTGGTATTAAGCGTGCAAGGAAGCCATCATGATTATTTGAAAAATTCAAAGTGAATAAAAGAATAAAATGTATACACAAGAAATTCAACTTATAGTGACAGCTAAAGTATTATTAGTTTGGACTATACTCGTAATTAAAAAATTCAAAGTATTTACTTTTTATCTTCGAGTATACTAAGTTATATACTTTGAGCTCTTTTTTCTACAAATTATAATCTATGTAATACTTTTGAATTGAATTTAAGGTTTACAATAAATAAAAACTGTTCTTAAAATAATTGCATTTATTCAGTAAAAACAATATTTATATTTCATCATAATTTTATCTGCAGCTAACCATTTCCTTGAAAAGAGGCGAAATGGGTGTAGAAAACTTATGTATAGCCTAGTCTTATTAAGACGACTATAAAAGTCTAGAACAAAGACTAGTGCTTGCTTAACAGTTCGCCACCGCTTATTTCCCATGAATTTCCGAATTCAACTCCAGCCGCCGCCGGTGCCACACCAACAACGTGAGAACCACTAAGAAGACCTTCTTGCGTATTCCTAGCTATAGCATCAGCAACAGCTTGTGCCTGTGCAGCGCTTGTGGCGACAGCCGCAGATTGAGCTCTAGCTGCGTTAGCAATGTGGGAAGCTTCGATAGCCCTAGTGTTCTCGTACGCGATGGCCTGGATATGTGCAGCGTTGGCCATTCGCTCTGCCTCTGCAGCACGAACAAGTTCAAGAGCACTTGCGGCTGCTGCTCTTCTTGCAGCTTCAGTAGCTTTAGCATTCTCCGTTGCAGCGACTTGTGCTCTCTGTAAATATGCAACACGTTGATCATCTAAGACCTGGGCGTTTTGAATCGCGTTGGTGTATCTGGCACGGGCTTCGGCTTCCGCAACTCGTGCGCCTTGTATAGCAGCGGCGGCAGCGTTCGCTATTTGTGCGGCGTGAACTGCTTGAGCGTTGTGGATGGCACTAAGTTGAGCCGCCCCTACTGCAGCAGCATTGTTCAAAGCTGCACTACTGGAGAGACTATGGCTAGCGACTACTGTGGTTGTGGGTGCTGAGACGATTGCAGGACTGGTTAAAATTTCCTTTGTACTGCTAATGAGAGAACCACCCCCCAGCCCGGAGTCCATCAATGTGGAATATATCCTAGATGCAGCAGCTCGAGAGTCTTTCCTTACACCTAAAAGTTTTTTTATAATCATTATATTCAACGATATAATATAATCTTAGATCAGTCATCGTAGCTCAATTCATAAACAATTTAAGTCTGTACAAACCATCTCCAAGTACATCATACGCCATGGCGATGACGAACAAAATCTGAAAAAAAACGGAAAAAATTATTATAAACAAAATCAATAAATGTGAAAAATGTTTTTTTTTTCCATATTATAAACATTACCGTAAGTCTAGACATGGCTTTATTAGCTGCTTAGCTGCGAGCTGCGTAGCTACCTGGGATGTTCCACTGTGTTAAACTGATTGCGATTATAAGTGAAACAAATTTGCTTGTGCTTTTATATCACACCGAAAAACATTACAAACGAATTAACAATTCTAAACATCTTTGCCGTCCTCATTAAGATGTTGATGTTCTTGTTTTTTTTTTTTTTTTTGTTTTGTAATAAGCAATACACGGGCCGAGTTTGGTCAATGACTTCTCTTTAGCATGATGGTAGAAATAAAAATTCCTTTATTGATTTAGGAATAGTTCCAAGATGAACCTCAAGCAGACTTCATTGTTACGATAAATAAATAAAAAAAATAAAAATCGTTTATTTCGACCACAAGGATCATAGAATGTTATTAATAATAGTAGAACTTAAAACTATTTACCTAATTTTAAAAACTATATCTAAGACAGGCCCGATTAGTCAGCACGTGTACCATATGACAATGATTCAGGTACTGACAATCAAGCCTGTCAGAAAATGTTAAAATAAAACCAATGTTATTTTAAAATAATTAAGTTCTAATTTAATCTGTTTACATGTCATGTTTGCTCCATTTTTTTTTTTTGAATCGGAATCAGAAACAGCTGCAAGTATTGTAATGTTGTTGCAATTTATTGATGTTTATTTGCTGTAACGTTTTACAATGATAACCCCCGCGTAGTTTTGCTTTAATGTGAATTAAGAGTTTTAGCGAAAGGCTGTACTGTGTGTGTGATAATTACTTATTACTGAATAAAACTAATTTTACAAATTTTATGGCACTTAACTTATTTTACTTGGTTTTATTTCTGTTCCTCCTCAGTCCTCCACGAGGGGACTGAGGTGTTAGACGTCCCGAAGTCATAGTTAGTCCGGACTAACCTTAATTTTTGAATATTAATTTTTGGTCCCATCTACTCAAAACGAGCATACAGTATCTTGGAGTCTAACAGTGGTATGCTTCGATTTGAATTTGATTCTATTTATTACATAGGATCCCAAGCAGATAGTAGCACCCAGCCATTTGCAGAGAAGATTGCTGTTTTTTGTTTATAACAGCCTCTTGAATCATCCTCGGTAGGAATTGGTGTTCTTTTGCAAGGATTTGTGTTCTATCAAATTTGATGTAATAGCAGAGATGATCTTCAAAATTTTAACAGTTTGCATAGTTTCCGTTGCGTATATATGTCACGTCAGATATATGTTATTTTACGTGGTTTTTATCGATACTTTTGTTTGTGATAAGTAAGAGAAATTTTGTGAAATTGCACAAGGACAAACGTCCAGATACGGAATAGACAAGCCATATAAATACTTGTCCGTGCAGAATTCGAACCCGCGACTCCCAGCACCGCATCTTATTACTAAGCCACGTAGCTGTCCTATTGACTAAACTTTTACAGCAGCTTGATTAGGTTTTAATGAAGGCTCGCTTAGAGACGTAGCCAGTTTTCTTTGTGACTCCACCGACTACCATATGTCTTCGAGTACCGCAGGAACATGCTCGACTGTGGCCGACTTCTTCACTCAGTTAGTTTTATTCAATGTTAAGTATTCGTACATACAGATAATATACGTCCCACAGCTGGGCACAGGCCTCTTTTCATTTCTGTGTGGGTTTTTAGGCTAAGGAAGTGTCCGGCTCACTACCCCAATGCGTGTTGGTGAACTTCACATGTCTCTGGAATATTTTTTTTCTTATTTCTCAGACAAGCTGGTTTCCTCAAGATATTTTCCTTCACCGCTGGGTGCGTTGTAAATGAGGACTTAAAATTGCAATTTACAATTTAATTAGTGCCGGTACTGTGAAGTGCACAGTGAACGGTGACCACATAGCCCCTGAGCTGCCACGGCTCTCCTTTTAATCGTGTTAATATAACAAATCATTATTACAATAATTAGTTCTTGCGACGGCGCCTAATCGGACAACCAACTCAACATCGAAGCACTTGTTTCATCGTTTCCACCAATAGTTCGCAGGCGCAGTCACTTAATACACAAAATCGCGTATCCGAATGCACTTCAAACTATTATATTATTTAAACGATAAAAGATTGCTTTGAAATAATTTGCGCCAATACTCCCAATTTTAAGTTATTAGAAGGCATTTAATAAACGAAATGATAAAAAAGCAAAGATTAATAATTTATTCTTTATTAATAAACATTACAAACTAATATCCGTACTCTTGATAGCCGCCGTGGTGACCGCCGTGACTGCCGTGACCACCATGACCGCCTCCAGGTCCAAAACCATTTTGACCACCAAATCCTCCTTGTCCGCCGTGGCCACCGGGTCCAAATCCTCCCTGGTTACCAGGTCCAAAACCTCCCTGATTTCCTGGACCAAAACCTCCTTGATTTCCTGGACCAAAACCACCCTGATGTCCTGATCCAAATCCGCCTTGGCCACCATGTCCAAATCCGCCTTGGCCACCTGGTCCAAATCCGCCTTGGCCACCTTGTCCAAACCCGCCTTGGCCACCTGCTCCAAATCCGCCTTGGCCACCTGAACCAAAACCGCCTTGGCTACCTCCGTGACCAAAGCCACCCTGTCCTCCCTGTCCTCCTCCGTAACCGCCTCCGTGCGGCAGACCTGTGGAAAGATAATAAATAGCTCAGCAATTTGTTGTTTGTAAAACAAAAATAATTCTATAGTGCTAACCAAAGGGTAGAGTAATATGAGCAGAAGATAGTGCTAATATCCTACTTAGTATTATAATTAGCATAATCTCGTGTTTTGCGTAGTTATATGTAGGTACTAAAGTTCCAAACACAAGGGCTGATTACTGCCACAACTGAACCCAAAAGGTGATCCATTTAGTCTGGTAATAATAGCCGATTTTGCCACTTTTTGAAGAAAAAATATTTTCGTATTTGGATGGCTTATAAAAACAACATATTGGGTAAATTGTAATTAAGATTATTCTTAAAATTATGTAAGTTATACATAAAAATACGGCGATTTAATTTCTTTCAGACCTACAAATTTAACGAAAAACATGATGTTTTTTTTTGGCACTTGCACTATAAAACTTATATTTTTTTGTAATGAACATTTAATTAATTTGTGACTATCTAAAAACATCGTATTTTTCGTGTTTTTAAAAGCGCATTTTTTTGTAGATTTATTACTATTTAAACTTATGTTCCATATTTTCGCTTATTAATTTTTTTCATTATTAATTCTACATTTTATTTTTATTTATAAACTTTTATACTTTATATACTTAATACATGTATTTAAAATGTTATACTCACCGTTACCGACAGCGACCATAACTAAAAGCAAAACAGCAATCTGAAAAAATATACTTTAATTAGTATTACGTTCTGTTTTTTCTTCAAGTAAACTTGTTATTGGCCTTCATCCTCTGTTTATTTTATTATTTGTATAATATTTAGCTGTAAGTTTTCAAAAATAATAAAATTAAATAAAAACGAAAATAAATATTGTACATATTTATTCTGTATAGTGAAATAAAAAATAATCTAATGCTGATATTTCATCAACGCAAAAATGTGATCGTGATCTAAGCTAGTGCTTGACAAGTAACCCACTTGATGGTATGATGGTAAGTAGTGATGCAGTCGAATATGGCAAACTGCACTGACTTAGCTTATTGCCTTAAAACACCTGCATTGTAATCGCATGGATGGAAGATAGATGGTGTTTATTAAAAACTATGAATGAATCTACTATGAATCTACGATATTAATCATGGAGTAACAAAAGATATTAAATATAACCCACGTTTATATTCTTTTTCTATTCTTTCCAACTTTTATACTCACTTTGAATGCCATATCTCCAACGTACAAATGGGTCGATTTAATACAGAGTAATGTAGCCATCAGTCTTGATGCGAGCTTTTATATCTCAGTTATCTGCAAAATGTCTTGACATTATGACCTTATGTGCTTACAATTATTTCATATTATGTTTACGTATTTATCATAATTATCTTGTTTTCATTTCTTATTGTCGGTACCTAATAAAATCGAAAGATAAATAATTAAATAGAATATTTGAAGTTTTTCGATAACATTTAGTGGAATTATATACATAAATGTGTTCGAATCGGAAGATAAATAATTAATTAGAATATTTAATGTTGTTTGATAACATTTATTGGAATTATATTTTTGAATATTTTCTGTTTCCATTTCGTTTGAGTTACTTGCTTTGTCCATGGTTTCGCTCGAGTGAAATTCAATCATGTTTATTTTTGCCGCTAGCAAGCAGTAAATTTATTTCCGTGTTTCAATCTGATAGGTTTAGGGGGATAATATTATAGAAAGAAGGTGTGGAGAACTTAAGGGTTCCACAGTTTTCATTCACTTTCATTAGAGCGTTATATTTTATACTAGTTTTTTACCTGCGGCTTCACTCACGTGGGCTTTCATTTAGAAACATCATTAATACTATTCAGTGCCAAAATTAGCATAATTTGATCACTTATTTTAGAAACACCTCGGTATCTCTGTCTAAATCGGACGTAAATGATTGGAATTCGGAAATATGCTACAGAAACACATAAGTTAGTTCATAAAAGTAAAAAGTAAAGTTACAGCCTTACGTCCCACTGTTGGGCACAGGCCTCCCCTCGTTTCCGAGAGGGTTTTAGAGCAACGAATTGTCCGCCGCGCTGCCCCAATGCGTGTTGGCAAACTTCACATGTCTTTGAAATATTTTTTTGCCGAGCACATGGTAAACCAGCACTTAAAAACACTTAAAAAGTGCCGGTGGGGATCGAACCCGGAATACTCGCGTTCTGCTATATTTACAGCGAGCGTTAACCATCTGAGCTACCACGGCTCATTTAGTTCATAAGAATAGCATTAATATTATACGTGTAGCGACAACTTCTTTATATCAGGCATGACTTTCGATGTGTCTTTATAAAGGGTAAATTGCCCATATGTATTCACAATTAAACTTGATATAATTTTGATAAAATAATGTTAGATTCGATGGTCTTCATTAATACACGGCATAGTGTTCATATGCGTTAATTATTTGCATTGATTGGTATCATAAAATAAATTTCAGTATATTTTTATGTGCGAGTAGACTTCAAAATTTCATAAATTTAGTTCTATCGTTCGTGGGTGTCGTAAGTGGCGACAGAGGAAAACTGAAACAGGAGATGAATGGCAGCAGCATCTTTTTTATAGAAGAGGGTAACAAACGAGCACACAGTCCACCTGATGGTAAGTGGTTGCTGTGGCCCATAGACATCTACATCCGTCCTCGATTACGAATCAAAATGCAGATGCGCTGTCACCCGTGAGAACTAAGATAGAATGCCTCGGTTCCAGTAAAAAGGGTCTCCGGTTCTCTACGCTCACCATACGAAACACAGCAGCACCAAGCTACTATTTTATGCTGGTATTCTGTGAGAGCATGGTTCCCTCCCCGGACGAGCCGACCCATTCATGCTACAACTATAATAATAATATAACTGTGAAGCATGTCTATACTACGTTTAAAATATATTAATATCTTCCTGATAATAGCTCAAAGTAATAAAAAGCTGCGGTTGCGATCCCGTTTGCCAAGTGTCAATACTGTAAAAATGCGGTCTATTTGACAAACAATGGGGGAAGCCTTTGATCAGCAGTGAATAGCCCTATTAAAAGTAAAAAAGTAGCAGCCTAAATACGGGCACAGGCCACAGCGAGTTTTAGGTCAAAAAGGAGTTGCTTGTCTTCAACGCGGGATGACCGACTTCACATACCTATACCTAAAATTATTTCTGAAATATTTTTTTATTTCTCTTATATGCAAATTTCCTTGTGATGTTGTTTTCACCACCGAGAACGTGATAAATCGAAAGTTCAAATTGCAGTTAAAATATAAGAGGACTCGGCGCGGATCCAATTTGGGTAGCTTACGTGCCTACTACGAAATTTACGTATAGATGGGTTTGATTACCTGCTTATACAGATGACTTTCAGGTTTCTATCAATGCAGTATATCTACACATAGTTTAAATAAAAATAAACCCATGTTTAAAATTTGCTTTCTTTGATGTTTATAGTAGTTTTCTTTTTATTAATAGTTAGTTCACAAGAGCCTGTTTATTTACTCTAGTGAGCTATGAAACTGGTACTGCCACAAAATTTTTAATAGTTATGTCTGAAAATATGAAAGCTATCTTAATTATTTCTTATATTTACGCGAACACCACACATTCAAATAATAGTAGTTTTTACGGATTTTATTGCGTATATTTAACTTTTTAAATACCCGACGTTTCGAGCGCTTTACAGCACCCATGGTCACGGGGGGTACTGAGATGTTCAACGTCCAGATGTCATAGTTAATCGAGGTTACCATAGATTAAAATTTAAATTTTGTTCAGATTTACACAGTATGAACTTATGGTATCTTGAAGTCTTGCAGTTGTATGCTTGGGTTGGAATTTTATTTTATTTATTATAGAATCCCAAGCAGATGGTAGCACCCAGCCATCTTCTCTATTGAAATTAGGATGTTTTTTGATTTCAATAGCCTCGCGAATCATCCTTGGAAGGAATCGGTGTTCTTTAGCGAGGATTTGTTGTCTATCAAATCTGATGTAGTGACGGGGACGATCCTGTACGTGTTCACAGAGAAAGATAGATTAGATTTCAGTTAAATATACCTACGCGATAAAATCCGCATCCAGCGCGGTGTGGTTCGAATAGGCGACGACCGAGTTCTTTCTGATCGGCTTTATTTACTGGCACTGGGTAGGGATGTAGCATCCCTTTGCGTTTTCTGTCGTATCTACCACGGGGAGTGTTCTGAGGAATTGTTCGGATTAGTTCCAGCCACCAAATTCCACGAATACATATTGCGTCAAAATTCACGATACCATCCTCACCATCTGGATGCTTGGCGGTCCACCACTGTGAATTTTACTAGGAGTTTTCTTCCTCGTACAACTTCTCTATGGAGTTGTTTACCACCGGCGATTTTTCCGGACCGATACGACTTAGGGACTTTCATGAAAAGAGCTTACTCCTTTCTAAAAGACCGCTAACGCACCTGCAATTCCCGTGGCGTTGGGTTGTTCATGGAAGGCGGTAGTCACTTAATATCAGGTGAGCCGCATGCTCGTTTGCCCCCTCTTCTAAATTTATAAAAAAAATCTGTGACTGCAGAAAATTCTCGTTAATTTATATATTTTCAGTATTGATTGTAATTAAGAGGTTTCTCAATAAAACATGGATTTTCGATGCGGTAGTTGAATTTATTAAGTGAAGTAATATTTACACAATCAGTTTTATTTTATTTGCCGCTTACCATTTCTGTTTTAATAGACGAAATGGATATAGAAGTCTTATGCTTTGTCTATCGTAACATTAAGGACTCTAACACCTTGAGTGCATTGTTTAGTGCTTGCTTAGAAGAGCACCACCGCCATGGCCCCAAGCTTGTCCGTAACCATAACTGCCAAGTCCTGCTAGGGTGGGTCCGAAATAGTAGCCAGCCGAGGCCGGAGCTAATGCAACGACGCCAGATCCACCACCATGAAGAGCTTCCTGGGCGTTCCTAGCCACAGCGTCAGCGACGGCTTGTGCCTGGGCAGCACTTGTAGCAACCGCAGCTGATTGTGCTCTGGCTGCGTTAGCTATGCGGGAGGCCTCTACAGCGCGCGCGTTGGCGTAAGCTAAGGCTTGGACACGCGCAGCGTTAGCGATGCGCTCTGCTTCTGCAGCACGAGCCAATTCAAGGGCACTTGCGGCCGCTGCTCTTCTTGCGGCTTCAGTAAATTTAGCATTCTCCCATGCAGCGGCTTGTGCCCTCTGCAAGTTGGCAGCACGTGCAGCGTCTAAAGCTTGGGCGTTCTGAATAGAGTTGGCTTGTCTAGCACGGGCTTCGGCTTCGGTAACTCGTGCACCTTGGATGGCAGCGGCGGCAGCGTTCGCAATTTGGGTGGCTTGTACGGCTTGAGCGTTCTGAATGGCACTAAGTTGTGCCGCTCCCACTGCGGCGGCATTGTTAAGGGCTGTACCGCTAGACAGACCGTGGCTGGCAACTACTGAACCGCCAGCGATGAGTGACCCACCACCCAGACCCGAGCCAATGATATTCGAATACAGCCCAGATGCAGCAGCGTTGGAATCTTTTGCGTCTTTTCCTACACCTACACAAAGAAGTTAAAATTATTTCCATTTCATAATGAAAGTTAAACCTTTGATTGTAATATAAAGAACTATCATTATTATAGAAAAGAAAGTCATATGAGTAGGTATTTTATTATATTCTTACAAGCTTACAAACAAATTTAAAATATAAAACCAACACTCACCATCTCCAAGTACTTCATACGCCACGGCGATGACAAAGAGAATCTGGAAAAAATATAAATTTGCATAATATGTTATACTTGGATCTCTTCAAAATATGATATATTTTTTTTTACCGTAAGTCGAGACATCGCTATGCTTGCTGTTTAGTTGCTTACGACGCGTCACCGGGTAAAACTGATCGCAATTATGCCTATAACAAATATGTTTTCGCTTTTATACCTTGCTAAAAATTATTACAATCAAATTAACAATTCTAAATGGGCGTTCAGTGGCGGCCTAATTGAATATCATTAGTTGATGTAAGAACCGACCGAGAACATACTTGGGTTGGTACAAAAGGAACAAAAAACCTTTGTACATCGGATACGATACTAATACATCCTTTTACCGCAATCGTAACCTTCAATAACCGAAAGCGAAATCTCTAAAATAGGATGTTTTTCTGTTAGGCAATTAATTAACAATTACCTTTATACATTGCTGAAATGCGAAGTACCTATGCA